TCTTGTCTAATGGTGCGTGATAATAAATTTTTACATGGCGATTACTTGATCAATGGCAATTTTTCGAGATTTATGTCGAATTTTATTTGGTGAAAATTTCGATGATTCAAAGCTTGTTTTGTTAGAACAGACTAACCGATCTAGCGTTCCAATCACGTTCAAAGTACAGTTTGTTTCATTGTCCTGTCGTTGATTATTCAAAAACGGTGAAATTAAAGCTGATAGAATTTGGTTTAGTGGAAAAAACACGCGTATCCACAGTAAACAGTGAGAAAATATATATTTATTGAGAGACTTTACGTGGAACGTCATTTACAAGTTGTTTGCTCAGAAGAAGAAGAAATGCGAGTGAGCACGTGGAGTTAGAGTAGCAATAGGGAAGACACCCCAATAGTACCGCCACAGCGGAACAACAGAAGAAATAGGAAACAGTTAAAAATAAATGACGACATCCCTGAGCTTGTTCCTAAAGGTCAGCAATCGTTGACCATCTACAAAAGCATCGACGTCAAGCGTTTCCAGAGGCTTTTTAAGCGTAATTCTAATTGTAAGCGTAATAGGCTGGAAGTGGATCAACGATAACCTTGACCTACGCGGATACCTCTTTTGATCTAGTGAACATTAAAGAGAAAATGTCCAAAGAAAATACACATTAAACCAGGAATCAGAGATCAAAAATGTCTCATCAGTCTAACCTAAACCGCCTATAGCGTCTAAGTAAGATGAACTTTCGACCTTCGGGGGCCTACAGCTCGTACGCGTCCCACGAGCATCGACAAAATGCGAAAACATTTATTCAATTTCGATGTTGGCCCAGCCCTGGTTCGCGTGGCTCTTTGAAGATTAACGAGACCGGCCTAGAGAAGCCCCTTCCATATTCAATCGGACTCCTTTCTTTGGCCGGGCGCGCTGTTCGCCCTCCCCGAGACCACATCCGACCGAGTTCGAGCCATTTCCCTGGAAAACGTAGTTATCCTCGCTGGGTTTCGCGCATCGATAAAGGGGTCGAACGAGGGGGGAGAGCGCGCTCTATTCACGGAAATAAAAGAGAGGGGGGGGGAGACTCGGGGAAAACAAAGGTACAGCTCGTGTGAGTCAGAGTAACAAAAGCCACGATCGTTATCAATCCTCCCTCCCCGTCACCTTTGCGCCGACCACTTTCTTCTCTCTTGTTCGCTCTTTCGTCGATCGTCCTTCTCGATTTCCACTCCTCCTCTACACCCTCGTCACCGTTAATTTTTGCGCGAGAAACGAACCTCGTCAGTCGACGCGAGCGAACGGCGCGTTTCGGAATTTCAACACTGAGCAACCGCGGACAGAGCAACCAACAACAGAGGCTGCCTATCACCTCGCCAACGTAAACTTACCGCTGCGGCTAATCTTGTTGCCAAGTTATAATCGTGTTGATGTTTTCGCTGATTCTTTCGATAGGCTGTTGTAATTGTATAATACGTCGTTGGCTCGATATTTTGCCGAGAAGTTGGTAACGCGCGGCGGGATGCTTAATTGACTCGAACAATGTTCGAGAGTTTGACGTAAACCCTTTGGTGTACTCGGGATACCCTCGAAATTTGGGTACGGTTCGTACATAACGTTGGAACGTTAATACCACGGAGTTTTAAAGGTGATTTCGTGCGGAGGTGTTTCCTTATTGGTTGAGATGTACTACTTGCACGACCGGAAAAAGACACTGAATGTACCAAATTGCGTGCGCAACGTACTCGAAACTTGTCAGCAAAAATTTGTCTCTGACACAACAATTATTCAACAGCTCGTGTCTTTTGAAATGTATACAGTATACAGGCGAACTGGTCAACTTCCCTATTTTCAAGAGGGCATCTGTAACGAATGGAGAATCATTCTTGAAACGTTCTCGACACAACAATTATTCAACAGCTCGTGTCTTTTGAAATGTATACAATTTACAGGCGAACTGGTCAACTTCCCAAATTATTATTTTCAAGTTGATTATGATTTATCACTCGAAACTTGTCAGTGTAGACTTTTCTGCAACCCAGCAATTATTCAACGACTTGTACTTTTTGAAACTCTATGAACATAAAATATTGCACATAAAGCGGCCAACTTTCCAAATTATAATTTTTAAAATGCCACTGAATGTGTCTGCAACGAATGGAAAATTATTCTTGAAACGTTCTCGAGAATACTGTATACTAAAAATTTCTTGGTTTCTCTGCGACCCAACAATTATTCAACGAGTTGTACTTTTCGAAACGTACATAAAATATTGCACACAAAGCAGTCAACTTTTCAAATTACCGTCTTTAAATTTTTACATTTGAAACTTGAAACGATACATTTTTACGGACCCTCTCCTCGTTGTTTACTCGAGGCGGTGTTCGCTTTTGAAAAGCATCTCCGATTTACAGCGTTCTTTGGCGATAATTCAAAAGTTCTAGCAGTCTTTATGAAAATCAGAAATTCGCAACGGTGGACGATCGAGTAGCTGTAGAAGTTTCTGAGCGGGCTACTACGATTGAGATGGAAATGAGACGTGATGAACGAACTAACTGTCGTTATTACGTTACGAAAGGATTTTACGTGCTCTTGTTTCTCGGTAAATATTTGGCGAAGCGTCGCCGACGTTGTAAATTCGACGTTGTAAATTTCTTCGTTTCAAGCGAACGATCTCGGGCGTCGGTTTGAATTTTCAGCGAACGGGTAACGTTTTACGATTCGTGCGAACAATATGAATTTCAAAGACTTCGTCAAGACTTGGCACGAGGCCGCCTGTCGTTGATTCACGGCGTAATATTACTAAACCCGACTGGAATAGCAGACACGGAGGAGCGAGGGGAAAAAATGGGAGAAGACGAGACGCAGATTCCTGGTGGATAGGCGACGCTGGAAACGGGGTCACTGAGTTGTCACCGAGTACGCATGACACGAGGAATTTTCAAAGCTCGGATATCGCCTCTGCCTGGCGCTGCCAGGAGTCGCTTTGCCTGAATTTGATTTAACTCCCAGAAAATCTGCTTGAAAAATCACAGGCAACCGTTTCGTTTCGCGGGACTTTTACGGCTGGCCTTAAAGAGGCTCAACTTTACGGGGCGGCCCAAATGATCGTTCGACTACACAGTCGGTGCCGTCAGAGACGTCAACCGCTCAAGAACACTGAACCACCCCCCCCCCCCCCCCCCCCGCGGCCTGCTATACCGCCGAGTGTACCTACCCTCGCTGTACATAAAAGTTTCATAAAAGTTCGAGATAGAAGTAGTGCCATGAAACTGATAAAGTTCTACCTCTACGCTTTCGACCACGAAAGGAGAGGGGGGGGGGGGGCGAAGAAGAAGAGAGAAAGGGTAGAGAGCGGACGTAACAAAGCTTTAAAAAGTAGAATTAATCTGCAAAGAGAAAGATCGCAGAGACGAGAGGAAAATCGGGGATGGCGGGGGATATCGATCGCGAGATACGTTCGTCTCTCATAGTGACGTGGTTCCTCGGTGGATCCTCACGCGGGATTCTCACGGGTGAAATTTTCGCATCGACGCGAGAAAGAAAGTTCGCCGCGTTGGATTCACGTCGCGAAGGGTAGTCACGCTGATGGAAAAGTCAAACAGAAATACGTGTCGCGTGAACAGCTTACAGAAGGAGAGGCTGACAGAAAAATCAAAGAGAACGGCGGAGAGGAGTAACCGGCTAGGTGGATTGGAGGCGTCGTGAAACCGCAGCCGCCACGGACTCCAGAAATATTCATTTTAATGGTTGATATAGCGCGGATATTGGTTACCGTTGAAACGCTACGTGTCCGGAATTCCGGACGCTATCACGCGCCGCGCGGAATATACGATATAAAAGCCGCTATTCGAAATCGGGACCGCATGAACGCGAGAGACCACCCCCTCTCCTCTCTCTGAATGTTCGCCGCCCGTTCACCTGTCGAATGCCAACTTTCAACGCGCCGCGATTAACCCCGTCGACAAAAGGGAGCTTGCCCTTGCTCCGTTCCGCCGTCTTCCGCGCGATTCAATTGCTCTGGTAATTGCTGAAAGGACCCCCACCTGTCACTTTACCTTGGCGAAAGGGACCTGTGGCTCAAGGACCCGATTTCCGATGGTTCAAACGTCAAAGGTGTGAGCTAAATTCGACACTTTTGGACGAAATTGAAATCTAAAATATAAATGTGCTGGAGTTATGAAGGTTTCATTTCCGCTTTCTTGGAAATTTAGAGAAATATTCAGATTTGAAGATTACCAAGAACTAAAGTATAGAATTTCCAACTGTAAAATACGATGGAACGCACAAGCTTCTATTTATGAATTTTATATAAAAATTTTATATATAAAAAAAAAGAAATCATTTAAATCTCTAAAAACACATTTCTCTACATCTGTAATATATCTAACAAAAATCACGAATTAGTCATTTCGAACTAACTTCGGTAGTTCTAGTTTTAACAGTAGACAAGGAGAATAGTGGAACACGAAAGGAAGATTGATCAAAGCATCGGTAATCATCCACGAAAACGTGGCTTTCCAGGCGCCGGCGAATGGAAGGAAGAATCTTGGGGAAAATATTGAATTTATTTCTTTTTTTCTTTTTCTTTTTTTTCCATCCCCGAAGCAGTTCGTTTCAACCACGGGAAACTTCTTATTCAAATGGAGTCGCGGATCGTGCATTGAATGCAAATGACCGAGACATAACGCGATAGGGGGTTTGCTTTGGTTTCTCTTTTTCTCTCTCTTTTGTCTTTCAGGGGGGAGGGGGAGGCGAGAGATGCGCGCGAGCGCGCACCCCTGCAAAACTTCCAAGCCAAGTTATGCGGGGCGAAGTTTTAACGAGAACTCCCATGATTCCGGCGCCTATGGGACGCTCGGAAAAGTTAGCTTTTGACGCGGTAGGTAGCACGTGACGAATTCAAATCAGCCGTAAATACTTGGAGCAAACACTCGGGGCGACAGAAGTGTAGGGAAGGAAGCTCGCTTGTAAAATAAAGCATTAGAAGGACAACGGGATAGTTAAGAAACGGTGCTACCACGTTATCCCCTCCCCTTCTTCTTCTCCTCCTCCTCCTCCTCCACTGTTTCGCACTCCGCGCGATTCGTTCCGCGATTTGCTTTCTCCATGGCATCGCCAACTTCGTGCAAACTCAATGGATAACCTTGCCAGAGAGTCGGCTTTCGTTAAACACAAATTGCCAGACGTTTCCGAACCAACGAACGAAGGAACAGGAAGCCATTACGCCAAGCCAAAGTTCGAAAAAAAAAAAAAAAAGAAAGAAAGGAAATAAGAAGAGTGATAAATCGATGAATTTCCTACTTCGCGTATGTTCAACGAAAAGTACCGGACGAGGAACAATGGCCGTTGGTCACGGTTAGCTACCGAGTCGAGATCCGTTGCACCGGGTCCACCCCTAGGAGGGTACCCTAACTACTAGGGGTTTTCAGACTCCGGCAGGGTTCAAAGGGACGTACGATCGATGCGCAACTTGTCGAGAATTCCCAGTAGTCCCCAGGGGGAAGGTTCCCTCTGTGTGTGCCGGGCTATCGGCTAAGAGCCAACGTATCGGCGCACCGGCAAAGTTTTCTTCATTTTTAACAACACCGGGAGAAACAGAAGAAACGCATTTCGAAAAGTTGGAAAGCGTCTTTCGGTGCTCGCTCTCGGACCAACGGAAAGTCGAAAAGGACGCCACGGCAGAGACGTAATTTCTTGGCGAAGGGGCCAGCCGTCGAGCGATTTATCGACACGTGCTCGCCGTCAGCGAGGGTAACCCGATCGCAACGGCGCAAAGATCCGAAAGCTTTCGAACCCGGCGTACTTTTCCCCGATTATCCGCTACGACGATGTAAATTGCCTTGACATTACGCCGGAAATTTAGCCCCGTAGCTGGCTCGTAAGTTTATCCAATATCGTCGAAGGAACGAGGGATTGAAGTTGCCAGGAGCTCGGTTACAGAGCACGGCTGAGCGGTCCGCATCGCCGAGACTCGAAAATTGCCTTCGTTAGTTAGCCGACCACTCTTTCGAGGGCCCCTTTAAAATAATAAGACTTGCAAAATTCGCCACGGTGCATGACCCGGTCGCGTTCCGCTTACATAATGCGCCGGAAATCGTTCGACCCCTATTGTTTCGCGACGAATATCCTAGCAGGCGAGACGCGCCAGATGAAATTGGAGGAACGGCGCGTGTCCTTTCGCTGCAGACTTCGACACGAAATCTCTGCGGTTGTTCTTTTTTTTCAAAGAGGTCAACGAGAATTATAGAGAATCAAGGTTAAAACGCGAATACACTGACCCATTTGGCTCGTTTGGCGCGGCGCCAAGCGGTACGCGGCGGAGCACGCGATTTTTAATTGACTCGAAGCGAGAGAGGAACAGGGGTCCTGATGGATTGAATCGAGAGAGCGGCCAGGATTTTCCGTGATTATTTTTATGACGCGCACATTTGGCCGCCGATCGATGGTAATTTCAATCGGCGTCCGCTTCGTTTCTCTATGAACAGAGAGGAGAAAATCGCGAGTGCATAACGAGCAGACGTCCGGTTTTCGTCCTCTGGCTGAGGATTTAGAAACATTTTATTCTCGCTCTATCGGTGGAATTGTCGCACTCAACTATTGACAATCTTCGCGAAACAAAGTCTGGACGTCGTCGTGTCGAAGCAAGATCGATCTAAGTGGCTAAACACGATATACAAACGAATATACTCACCGTGAACTATCAGACTGATGACAGCCTCGGCCATGCTGCGGCTGTTCACCAAGCAGGTGTACTCGCCAGTGTCCTGCGCGGTGACCGGATGGAACTGAAGCGCGTAGTTCTTCAGCGACAACGACACCCTGTTCTGATGGTTCCACACGATGGTGGTGTTGCTGCTGTACTCGAGCAGCTGCATGCTGTTAACCCGCCATTCCAGCATCAGTATCAGCGAATTCTCTGTCACACCCGGACAATTCAGCGTTACGTTCTTTCCGGCCTCGACGACCATCTCTCCAACCATGGAATCTGCAAACAGAGACGTTGCCCGTCGTTACATCCGTCACGTCGTGGCTGTTATCGCCACGAGAATAAAAGAAAGAAAGAGAAAAAAAGAGAGAGAAAAAAGGAAGCTAGCTCTATTCGTGGACAGCGGAGAGATCTGCACGATCAGGCTGCGTCAGGACCATTTCGCCGGAAGTCGGATAAAACGAGCTCCCGTTTCACGCTCTTCACTCACCGGGCGACCCTTACGACCGCGACCAGTCGTCCGGCGTCGGTCTAAAATTTCAACTTCTCGCCGCTGCCACGAGAATTGTAATAAATTCTGTAGTAAATCGCGATCTCGATTCTAAACTCGAGTATAGAACAGTCAATCATATTAACCTTTTCATTACGAGCGTCGGATATTAACGTATTTTGGAATAATCACGTGTTAAAAATATATGTAACCATCGAGAAGAATTTCTCCTATCTTTTCTATTCAACGGTGAAATATTTGTACGATGAGAAATTATTGCGATAAAAATTCTTTCTCAATCTGTCGCGAGAAGACCGATTACAGGTGTAACTATAATAAATCTCTTAGAAATTGAAGATTATATTTTTGTTTGAAAAAAAAAGAACATTCTAGGTTCTTGACAAACTGTTACTAGGAAGTTTAAAAGTCTCTAAAATCTTTTTTTGGTAAGAAATTATTGTGAATGAAAAATCTTTTTTAATATATTGCAATTCGGATAAAACCGGCTGCTGGTATAATTGTCGATCTCTTACAAAATTTAAGGTTATATTTGAAAAGTTAGGTTAGGTTAGGTTCGAAGAATTAAAGTTCATTTTAAAAGAAGAATTCCAGGCTCCTGTTAAAATACCTACCAGAAGAAAGTAGATCAAAATGGACTCGGAAAATAATTCGATCAATATGTCACACTTTTGGCGTGAGCTCTCATTCAGTGATGACGCTCTGGAGGATTGAACTATCGTAGCAAAAGGCTATTAAATAAGCCCACATCTACATTTGAACACACATCTTCCAAAAGTGCGAGATCCTGAGAAAATACGAGTATTTTTAAAATTTCGCACGGATTTGAGTGTTATATATATATATTTCGTACTTATATATATATATATATATATATATATATATATATATATATCTGTGTGTGTGTTTCGTACGATACTATTTAGAGCTTCCTTCATCCGGTTGCCAAACCGGTATCAGAATGCACGTGTGCACGTGACAGAGGTTGAACTGTAGCAGAGAGGCATCTTGCAAATTTTCCTTTCCGAACAATTTGATTCTCCTCTTTGTTAAGGGCGCTGCGTAACCAGCGACATTCGAGCAGATTAAATGCAACGAGACGGATCAAATGGCAACGACTGCAGTTTCTTGAGCGCGGGGTCCGGGCGTTAAGCGCGCTTCCGCTCGGTGTGTCTCTCGCGTTACGGAGCAATTCCAAGTCAAACTCCCTGGCAAAGAGTCCAATTAGTTCAACTGCTCCTTGTTTTCGGATAGTCCTCCCAACGCTGATTCCGTGCCGGCACGAAACCAGCCACGTTCCCGCGACAAAGGGGACGTGCCGCGATTTGAATTTACGAACATGTTCGAACAAAGACAAGGTCAACGCTAATGCGGATCTTTCGACGAGACAGACGGTAATTTATGGTAAATTGTACATGCTCAAAATTATAGACCCTTTTCGCGAGCTTATTTCAATCAAGACGAATTCTTTTTAACTTTCATTGACTTTCATCATTAATTTTGTCGTTCATTTTCAACGACGACGGACGAAAGTAAATTCGACCATAATGGCAAGGAATTGTTAACAAATATTTATGCAAATATATATTTTTCTGAATGCATAACCATGAGACCACTTTTGTTTTCTAAATTTAATCAAAATTGGTATATTCTGGGATATTTTGCATACTTTTGCATATTATATGCCCTCTGCTTGTATGTTGAACTTTTTATTAATGCACGAATATCAGCAGGAAAATAGAGAATTTGGCAATCTCGTCTCTTTCTTTGTTTATACGAACAAGAAAGAAATCAATTGTAATAAGCTACACTCGACAACAGCTGACTCTCTCTCTCTCTCTCTTTCTCTCTCTCTGTTTTCCCGCTCAATAACATCGCAACTGCAACGCCTCGATTCTTGATAACCATCCGGCTAAACAGCAGTTACATTCGAGCCTGTGTGCATACTTCAATTAACCGTGGTAATCGCGACGCAGCGCGTCGGTCTATTATTTCTGTCCGCGGTTTCCCTCGAGCGGCTCTGGCTGCTCGAATTCCAACAAGAAGCCCCCGACAATTAACGGAATTCGAGCGGTGGTTTTCATATTTCTGAAGTTTCGTGGCCGGTGGTGCTCGTTATTAGACCAGAGACGGGAATGACGTTGAAAATTCTTCCTTTTCCTCGTTCTGGCTGAGGTCCGCCGCCCCCTCCCCGTCCCACACGGTTTCACATTTTCCCTTTTTCCCTTTTGCACAACCCTTGACCGTTCGACGAAATTTCCGCGCGGGTTTTTCTTTCATTTTTTTTTTTTTTTGCGAATGATTCGCCGCGATTTTGAGCCAGGGTAGCTCCATTGAATCAGCAAGCGGTTTTTTCAGCGAGCGAAAAAAAAGGGAGAGAGAGAGAGAGAGAGAGAGAGAGGAAAGAGAGAGGTAGCGGAGTAGTATCGGATTGACCGAACGACCAGGGGGATTGGGTTCGATCGCGAAATCGCGTTCTTCAAAAACCCGAAAGGCCGTTGTGACGTGATTCACGAAACGATTCCATCTCCAATCTCTGATAAACTCGACTACGGGCGTGCGCTGTACGAGCATTCGGTTCACGCGTACGTATTCATACGTGCATAAAGTGCAAGTTAGCCTCTGTCGATTCTGTACACCCATTTCTACCTCTCTCTCTCTCTCTCTCTCTCTCTCTCTCTCTCTCTCTCTCTTTCTCTCTTCGTCGAGCTTCCGCCACGCGTTCCTGTCGCTCCCTCTGTCCTTTCGTCGTACGTTCGACATCCCTTCGCGCGCACCCCCGCACAGATCCGCCCGTTCGATTCTCTTTCCCAGCAGCGCCGACCGATTTTCGCCAGCGCAGCGACGATCAGTGGCCGTCCAACGGTTCTCTGGCGTTGAACTTTTGATCATCCGACATTCTGCATCGATTCTCGTAGTTCTGGCCGGAAGTTACGATGGAAATTACCCCGAGACCTGGCTGTAATTTCATCGGCTGCATTATAACTTCGGTACACCCATCAGCTTGCTGTGGCGCTTCAGCTAATCATGAAACGACCGGAACGGAGGCTTCCATCCATTTCAGGGAGCGACGTCGGGTTTCGTATTCTTGAGTAACTTTGAATAATTTAAAAGGAACGCGACCTCGAGTAAGAATTCGAATCCTTCGTGTTTTTCGTCCTGCCGACGCAACTGCCGCGTTGTTTTATTTTTTATTTTTGTTCTTTAATCTTCTTTCTTCTCTTTTTTTCAACTCTCGCTGTTCAACTCTCGCTGGGATCATCTCGCATGGTAATTTATTGTAATTGAAAGCTTCTGCTATGCGAACACTTACTTTTCGACTGGCTTAATATTCGAACGTTATATGAGAATATCTAGCGGATGATTTTCTATTTACTAGCAGGCATTTTACTCTCATAACATGTGAATCTCTATTTTTCAAGTATCGCAATATTCGATAAGAATTTTCATCTTTTTCATTTTTTTTTTTTTTTTTTCTTTAATGTCTATTACTAGCAAATGGTCTAGTTACTAACAGACATTTCATTCTGACAATAAAACGTTTGAATATAAAACACAAAATTTATTTTTTGAATATTTTAATAATGAGTCCACTTACCAACAGATACTGTATTCTAATAATAAAACGTCGGAATACAAAATGCAAAAGATTTATGTGAATTTCCACGTTATATAAAAGCGCAATGTTTGGTAGCAGAAAACGATCTTCTAATTAATAGCGGACATTCTATTCTGATAATGAAATGTTCAAATATAAGATATAGAAGAGGCTTCCTTATGCACATTATATTAATTTAATACTCTAATGTTCAAACGTAATCTGCAAATGATCTAATTACCAGCAGTCATTTTATTTTGACAATATAAACAAAGTCATATTCGAGTTCCGAGTATTAACATATTCGGAAAATAAAGAGGCTCCTACTTAGAATCTGCCTGAGATTTATAAATAGCACTTCTTTCAAATTCTCTTATATTCTGCATGACGCAAAATAGTGCCTGGCTCTCAGAAGCACCGTGGTTAGCCGCACAAAAAGGAAATTCCATTGTGCGCACGCGACGCGCAGGTCCCCCCCCCCTCGTTTCTAGGTTAATTTACGTCGTTGCGTTTTTTGAAAGAATTTATAGTTATAATTAATTCTCACTGGATGGCAATTTTTTTTATACGTTACGCGCAAGTTAGGCAAACACAGCGGGAACAAAAGTAATGCAAACCATTCAAGTTGAACATTATTTTGTTGAACAGTTGTTAATCATCGGTACCCACACGTTTACGCCGTAATGATCGTACGAATGTATATTATTTGAAACTCCGAAATAAAAAATTTCGGATGAGAAAAATTCACAAAATTCGGGACACGGGGGATTAAAACGAGAGTATCGCTGCTCGTCGACGTTTAATAATTATTTTTCCAAATAATCATCTCAAAAAGGTAACGTAAAAAAAAAAACATGTCCAGCCCTTCTCGAAAAGGACGACCCTTTTTTTTTACAAATATCACCTGAAATGATTTTCTAAACATTTTTCCTTTCAAAAACAAAAATTTAAATAAAACAATTTACAGCGTGTTCGCGCATTTGGAGGGAAAACGAAACGAAATTATTACTCGTTGATATTCGATGATTATTTCACCGAGTGAAATAAAATTCGAATAAAATCGTTCCGGAAATATTCGCACGATGCAGAGGAAAGCAAAGGCAATTACACAGAATAAAACTGGACGAGTTCGACGCGCGTATTCCAGGCTTGCCACTGGAATCAATCCGTGCT